AAGAGGGTGCTAGATCTCATTACAGATGGTTGTGAGCCACCATGTGGTTGCTGGGAATTGAACTCAGGACCTCTGGAAGAGCAGTCAGTGCTCTTAACCACTGAGCCATCTCTCCAGCCCACAGCATCATTTTATAATAAACGGTGTTTATTGAGCACTTACTTTGTGCTAAGCATTATCAGCTATGATATAGCTTATTTTTATTCTTTGTAGCAGCCTCAAGAGATGTGGAAAACAGACTTAGGCATTAAGTAGGAGTCAGCAGGGCCACCATGTTCCCGGGATGTAATTCCCATTATACAGAGAATGGAACTGAGGTTGAGAGAGAAGGAAGGCCGTAAGCGGTCAGTCATACAGGGGACAGGCCCTGAAAGTGGAGTTCTCTCATGGAAGATGGCAAGTGTTACTCCACGAAGGCTGTAACAGTTGGCCACGAAGCTTCTAGGCATCTGCACCTTGGCCTGGCTGGGTGGAGGACACAGACTCAGAAACACACTCATAGGGAGCTAGAACTGTGCAGAAAATATCCCAACACAAACAGTGTCGGGTGGTGTGTTGAGTTCTGGATAGGAACCAGGCCCAAATCCCAGCTCTGACACTGCCGATTCACCGTGGAATACCTGGCAAATTCCCTTCTTGCTCAGGCCTCAGTTTCCCTGCCTGTGACCTAGAGGGTGGGCAACCTGAGCTCACCTGAGGCTGCTTGGAGAAACTGAGGTTGTTTCCCTGGGAGATAGTACTGTCTTGGCTCTGAGCCAACACAGTCTCAGTACATTTTTTTTCTCTTCTGACCAACCAGTGGCCCATCCCTCCTCCCCCTCCCCCCCTGGCTCTCCCCAAAGCAAACGAAGCCGATTGTCTTCACTGGCGCTGTGGGTGCTGGCTGGTCGGCCGGCCGCAGGCCACAGGCGGAGGTGCCATCAGCCAGGGCCCCACCAGACACACAGGGCATTGTCCTTTGGTCAACAGCCCTGGGCACCTCAGGCCCTGGCTCCTGGCCTACCCCCACACCCCTCACCGCCTGCCACTGTACTAAGGCCCAGCCAGCTGGGGGCCCAAGGCTCCCAGCTGACAGTGAGCCCACCCACCCACACCCCCCCAGCAGCCCCCTGTGGAGATATAATTGCCTCGGTCCACCCTGTTGCTGCTGCCATTCTCTCAGGCATCTGGGGTTCCCGGCGGGGTGGCAGCTGCAGGGCCTGCTGCCTGCCTTGGTGGGATGGACTGGCCACACAGCCTGGTAGGTGGTGCGCTCCCTTCTCTGTAGCTGTTCTTTCCCATGGATTAATGGCTGCCTGTGTTTGGCTTGGAATCTGCAGGGCCCAGCTCTGTCCTCTCCTTCAGGGCCAGAGAGAAACAGAGCCTGGTCTCAGCCTGCAGTCATGGCCCAAGGCTTGGGCTCCAGGCTCTGGGCACGGCCTGGTCACACTGGAACTCTTTCAGGAAGCAGCGTCTGGGGCAATCGGACAGACGTGGGCACTAGAGGTTTTCCAGCCCTGGCTTCTGGGACCTGGGCAGAGTGCATGATCTTGGGCAAATCCCTCTGTCTTTGTTTCCCATCTGGAAATTGAGGGAGGGGATGCTGAGTCTGGTCTATGCTTCCCCTGCAAGGTGAGTTGAGGAACATGTGGGAAGCACGTCTGAGAACGCCTGCAGTGAGGGAAGGATTTCTGCAACAGAATGCAGGGCCAAAGGGAAGAATTTAGCAGCCTGATTCACTGCTGTGGCTCTTACGCCGGCCAGCGGATCTGCCAAGGGGGGGGGGGGGTTATGCAGGAACTTGTTTCCAGGGGTCAAGGCTTGCTGAACAGCCCGGATCACAAACCAGGCCCGGCCCCTGTGGACCAAGAGGTGCAGGGAAGCCATAGAGTCTGGCGAGACTCAGAAAAGTAGTGAGGAAAAGCGAGCGAGAACAGGAGTGAGGCAGGTTGTCTGCTGCCGAGGAGGGGGTGGTGTGTGTGTGTGTGTGTGTGTGTGTGTGTGTGTGTGTGTG